AAGGATTGGCTGGAAGACTACCGAAAGAAAAGCATACAGAGCATAAATAGCATTCATGAGAACATAGACTAAATTTTAGACTTGACACGTTCAGAGATAAAGCAATCAAGGGAAATATAAAAGTAGAATATTACAGAATATACAGTTAAATTGACATATAGTATCGACATAAGCGAGAGATGAATCATCACGAGCTGCAATGTCGAAGCAATCATCAAAATTTAATAAAAAGAAGAAAAGTTCAGAGAAGCCGCTCATCAGTAACGAAAAGCATCGGTTGGTAGAGGAGTTGCACGCTCCAGCGAGAAGATATTTTCCCCGTAGACGCGTCATAGTGCGCGGATACGATGAGCTTTGGCAAGCTGATTTGGTAGAGATGCGTCCTTACTCGCAATTCAATGGAGGCTACCACTATATACTCACTGTTATCAATGTGTTAAGCAAATATGCGTGGGCTGTACCGATGCAGAACAGGAGCAATAAAGAAGCAGTCAAAGTATTCGCCAGAATATTTCAAGAATCTGGAAGATGTCCGAAAAATTTGCAAACGGACCACGGAAAAGAATTTTATAATGCGGATCTGCAGAAACTCCTTACAAAATATGGTATCAATCATTATTCTACGTACTCGGTAATGAAGGCATCTGTTGTGGAACAATTCAACCGCACGTTAAAGAACGGCATGTGGAAAATGTTTACGTTGAATGGAACATACAAATGGATCGACTCGTTACCGCGCCTTATCGCGGAGTACAACACACGGAAACATCGAACTATCGGCATACGTCATATCGACGTGACACCCAAGATCGTCGATAAGCTCCTACATACAGTCTACAACAATGTAAAGATCGCGGCACCTGTGAGGTTCAAAGTGGGTGACTCGGTACGCGTGAGTAAATTCAAAACTATCTTCGAGAGAGGTTACACTCGGAACTGGACCACCGAAGTGTTTAAGATCATCAAAGTACAGGCGACCAATCCGGCGACCTATCTGCTTGAGGATTCTCGCGGAAAGTCTATTGCCGGAGGATTTTACGAATACGAACTGCATCGCACTGCTAATCCTGACGTTTATCTCGTGGAAAAGGTGTTGCGAAAAAGCGGCGACAAGGTTTTAGTGAAATGGTTGGGATTTGACGACTCGCACAACACTTGGGTACACAAAGAAAATGTATTGTAACCAATTCTTTATGATTAACATTTTTTATTACAATATCCTATTATAAACAGCTTGTAATAACCCATCTCTTTATTATAGTTAATAATATTTGTTACAAACAAACAAATATATGTACAATGATCGCTTTTCATTTGCAATATACATATATGTGCAATGATCGCTTTTTTATTTTACAACGGTATCCTGTAATGACCCCATGGTAAAGTGTCTGTTGAGTCTAGTACGATATACCGCTTGTCATCATGTGGACTTGGAGCAGTTTTCAGTTCGGATGCGGTGTAGACTTTATGCATTTTGGATCGTATGCATGACTGACGATGTCGCATTTCGACCTCGTCCCTCAGACACCGCATATAATCATCAAACGTTATAGTTCGCGCTACGACGTTGGTCTTGACGCCTTTCGCCTTCTTCGTGTCCTTTTTGCTGTCTACTTTTAGCGCGTACATCTTTGCTTTGAGTCCGACGAATTCCGTCATAATCGCTCCGTTTTTCATCTTTGATCAGACTCGGCACCTTCTTGTTGACAAGCGGTATACCGTACGCGTTATCAGCGGGATAATTACTCGTATCAAACTTAGAAATATCACGTTTCATGTGCTCGAAAATACCATCAGATTGGATATGGTAAATTAAACTGTCAGTATTGGTATACATTACTTTACATCTGTTTTGATATAGGGGAGACATGTATTCGTGATGAAATTCGTACAAGCAAGTCTGGGATATGTCAAGGATACACATACCCACATACATCGGCTTATTGAATTTCACTTCAAGTTTACGCAGCTCAACGGCGATTAAATTTTCCGAGAAGACACTTCTGCTGTGAAAATTTGGTTTTACGATCATTGCCTCAGCACTGCATCGTCCGTCCCATTTTGTTAACAATTTTACGTCTACGTGATTGCGAACGTTTTCCATGGTTTTGCCGAATACTGCGTTGTTCATCAATTTGTACAAATTTTTTTCGAAATCGTTTGTCGCGCGTGTTCTAAACTGCGTGTTAAGTTCGATATAATTGCGGAGCCATGGGGATTGAGAAAATTTGAGTATGCGGTGCATCTTTACAATACGAAGACCATGACGCGTGCACTACTGCAGGTTGCGATAATGAATCTCATAACGCTGCTTATCGCATAAGGTTATGAGAAGCTTATCCTGTTTTTTGTTCGGCGGTTTGTCCCGCGTCGGACAGAACGGTAGATCAGCGTGCGCGTCGTGCAGGTTGCGAATACTCCAAGTCGACTTCCAGAATGTAATCTATGGGTGAATCTAGAGCGATTGATGATACGTCGAAATTCGATATATTATCAACCCATCGAAATTCGGCGTATAGCAACTGTTGACACATTGCTCAACCGTGCAAGTTATTTACATCGAAGTACATCAAGTATGATGATGGCCGCAATGGATCATAAGACTGCATGTACTTGTTATTGGCCTTTGCGTATTTACCGGAACATTGACTGAGACCACCGCGAATACCGCGCTCGATGAACATGACCATATCGATATCAGTGAGCAGTTCGAAATTAACACCCGTATGCTTCAATATAACATCCCACGTAAAACCAGGCAAAGTGTAATACGAGGGTTGCCTTTTATATTTCGGGAATAGAGAACAAAGAAAGGAAATTAATTATCGTACAGGGGTTTATTGTTTTTCAAAATATTCTCCATGAAGGTCAATACACTTTTGCATGCGCTTGAACCAATTTTCGAAGCACTTTTTCCACTCCGATTGAGATACCTCCAAAACATGCATTTTGAACGCATCAACCGCTTCTTCAGGCGTCGAAAAACGTTGACCTCGTAATTTATTTTTGATTTGCAGGAATAAAAAGAAGTCATTGGGTGCCAAATCAGGGCTGTACGGCGGATGACCCATCAATTCGACTTTTTCAGTTCTCAAATGTCTCTTGTTTGAGCCGATGTGTGAGAGCTCGCATTGTCCTGGTGGAGAATGATGTGTCTTCGGCGGTTGGTTTCCCTTATTTTTCCGAAGACTTCTGACAAACAAATGGTTGTGTACCATTCAAAATTGACCGTCCGACATTGCACTAATGGTACAGTTGCCACGTGTCCGGTTTTTCCGAAAAAACAGGCGACCATTTGCTTCGTAGTGCTTCGTGCGCGAACAACTTTTGTTGGATTTGGCTCATCTTGAAAGATCCATACAGTCGACTGCTGTTTACTTTCGGGCTCATACGCATAGATCCATGATTCGTCACCTGTTACGATATCATAGACGTGTTTTGAAGCACCGCAATCGTATTTCTTGAGCATTTCTTTCAACCAATCGACACGAGCCTTTTTCTGAACGATTGTTAAATTATGTGAAATCCAACGCGAACAAATTTTTTTGACAGCCAAATGTTCATGCAATATTGAATGTATGCTGGTCCCACTAATGCCCAAGGATGCTTCAATCTCACGATAAGTCACATGACGATCTTGCAATATCAGTTCACGCACAGCATCAATGTTTTCTGGAACAACAACCGATTTTGGACAACCTTCACGAAATTCATCACTAAGCGAACTACGGCCACGATTGAATTCTGTATACCATCGATATATAGTGGTTTTTGATGGTGCTTCATCGCCAAAAGTCGAATTAAGTTCATCGGTGCACTGTTATTGAGATAATCCACGTCGAAAGTTGTAAAAAATAATCGCACGGAGATGTTCACGACTTAATTCCATTTCTTGGCCGACATCAATTTTTCATGTCACTGTAAACAACACAAATTGCGCATGGACATCAAAACGTTCTGAGTAAGTATATTAACAAAAAGTCGAACTTTACGTTAGGGACGTCGGTTGTCAGATGGCAGCACCTAGATCGTCCATTCCCGAAATATAAAAGGCAACCCTCGTAATACGCGGGATCAAACCCATAACTTTTGATGCAACTATTGCGGAAATTTTCAAAAATATCAGCCAGTAACAAGACATCAATCTTCAGATACAAGTCGCTATATTCGCTCAAAGTTTCAATGGACAAACGCTGCCAGATGTTCGTAGCGTGCGCGTAATCGCTCTCGGATACCGTGTCACCTGTCAACGAACTGTAAAATGACTCGCGCGGCGGTAAATACCGATCCTGCAGCTTGTCTGCATAATCAAGGTATTCGTACGGAAAGACACCCTTTCGCGTCAATAAATCAAAGTCCTTGCCGGACAAATTTAAAAATTCGGATTGAATAATTTTTAATTTGTCGTTGTCGAGAAAAGACGCCAATTTATCGAGACTAGTACTGAGAAAATTGTACGAATCGATGAACCGCAATTGTATACAATTTTTCCATTTATTCCTACTATCCGTCATGTTTCCTACAGTCTTTGTAAACGAAATATATTTTTCTTTGGTTATCGGTAGTACAGTGACTGAACCTTCGAACGCGGTTGCTATATCTTTGATGATAAAGTACGAATCATAACTGGATAAGTTGTGAAAGACCACAGGAATGCAATAACTGTGTCGGTAATTTAGATTGCAATTGGAATGCGCAGGACCCCTGTACCGTTCAGTCAGGTGGCAATGATCAGGCACGCGTGTATCGTCCTCCGGGAATGATTTCTCACAAACATGACACAGTGTAGCGTTCCGAAATGTCTCCCACTGTTCTTTCGACAAAGTTTCTATGGGGACATTTGCGGACAAAATACCCTTTAGACGATGTGTCAGTTCTTCAAGTTCTTTGACAAACAATGAGATGCAATTCGGATCGCGGCAACATCGATACGCATATAACGACTCATCGTAGGAACATCGCACGTAATACGCTATGTTACTAAATATGTTATGACGTTAATACGCATACGAACTCGTTTGTTCTTCCCTCGGTGTCTTCTCCAGGATGCATTCCAAGTCGGCGTAAACTACAAACGGGATCTGCTCTTTCCTGCAGTAGTTGATGAAGCTGAGCCATTTGTTGTCATAGTTCGGCAGTATGATGGCGCAGTCATTCAATTTACTACAGTCTATAGTGTGACATTACAGTTTTTCGTTTGTATAAAAATAATGTAAACAATTGTAATGAAAGAAATGATTATTATGAGTTTTTCTTTATAATGTATTTTTTGATATATTGTATTCATAAAATATCATTCATAAAATATCCTTACCGATCACATATATATTTCTTGCATTTGTTTTTACTTAATTGTGAGCTCACAAGGCGAGACAAATTCTTAATCCACATGAAGTGTCCCACGTTGTGGTCTTGTGCATCTTGTATATATAACAAATTTACATGCTGCTTCTTCTTATCAGTGCATCGTATCGGAACGATCGTAAATGATTTTTCTTGCTTCTTTTTATCTTATATAATGTATACAGGGTTCTCAAAAAATCTTCGAACGATAAAATATCTCGAAAACAATCAGTCTTTGGAAAAAATGTTTCAGGCAAAAATTGTAAAGTTTAAAATGATCTATTTACTGATCTTATCAGTTTGCCTTGGCTAGCGTCAATAAAGTCAGGGCAAAGTCACCTTGAACTTTTCAAATGGAACGTCCTACTTTTTTTTGGCATATTCTTATAACATATTTCAAGAGCTTTCAAAAACACTACAACTGTTCCGTACGGCACGTGATGCCGTACGGAAAGTCGGTGCGAGTCAACGCTGCAGGGCGGGCGGCCTGGTGCCGGGGCGTTCTCGCTGGCGGCGGGGGACTCGGGTTCTCGCGAGCGAGCGCGCGGGACCCCCACTAGGTCCAACCGCGGCCGCTACACGGCGCGGCACGCGATTCCGCTGCCCGCGGGCAAGATTCGACCGCCCGGATATATAACCAGGCGCGCGATGCCTGGTCCTTGCCTTGTCTTGTCTTCTGCCTGGCCAGTTTAGGTAGCAAGTAGTGCTACACGTTAGTGCATCGTGTTACTGGTGATTACCGACGCGCTTTCTAGGCTTCCTAGGGCGATCGGGTATTTCGTTTCAGATTCGAACCACTGCTCTATAGACTCTGCTGAGTTGAAGGTGGCGCCGACACACCCTGCTGGGTTGAGGCAAATGGTTCGAATCTCGTTTTGTGATCTCGGGCTCACGGCGTTGCCGTGATCTTAGGAGCGACTCGACCGTCTCCTCGGAGCTTCGAGCTCCCTTATTGCCCAAGTGTCCGTAGGGGGCCTTGGCGGTTTTGGAGCGGCTCGGTCGCAGTCCTAGAGCGGTCGCGCTCCTTCGTCCAAGTGTCCATTGGGAACTTGGCTTTCTCGCAGGAGCGACTTGGTCGTCCTGCGAGCCGGAGCTCTCGGAGCTCCGTTTCCACGCGTCCTCGGGACCGTGGCTGGCTATTGGCCATTACGCCCGGAAGGGCAGGCCATCCGAAACGACGGAGGTCGTTTCGTTGCACGTCCTTGGCGTGCTTCGGGTGCCGCGCACCGTTGACGTCACGGACGTGTGTCCTGCGGGACTTGCGTAGGCGACGTTGTTTCGCTTGTATATAGCTACGTTTAGGTTCTTCTGCGTCGTTCTTCTGCGTTATTCTCTTCTGCGTTACTACTGCGTCTATTGCGTCCATTGCGTTTACACTGCGTGTCACTTTACGTCGGCACGTGCGCGTGCTTCTTCTCTCTTGTTCTCGCCGCCGTCCCTGGGCATGGCCCAGTCGGCGCGCGACGTTGCCTGATCAGCAGGGTCTGTGATCGCCTTGCGAGGCCCCGGCCTTTGATCAGGACGACCGGACGGTCACCGAGCGGACTCGAGCGAGCCTAGACGCAGGCGGACGTCGCTCTGCGATCCCGTACTTCCAGCCAGCTCTCCGGAGCTATCATATGTTCGGGCTAGTTCCGAACAACAACAAAGTATTGTTTATTAAGTATATCCCGAGTTATGAAGCTTCAAAGTTACAGTACCGTCGGCATTAGCATTACCCAAGGTGTACCGCGTGGAGATTGGACGATCGGATTTACACCTCTTGTGTGTGTGCGTGTATGTGTGTGTGTGTGTGTGTGTGTTTGTGTGTGTGTGCGTCTGCGTGTTATGTAACAGAAATAAGGACCCCACGGTTCGTCACTCCGGTAGTATTTCTGATTCTAAACCCTTCCTGCTGTAAAGTGACTTTATCTCATCTTTTAAGATGTGTAAGATTTTTCAATTAATTAAATGTTCAAATTGTCTTCCTTCTACCATTTGACAATGAGATAAACGTTCATAAGGATAGCAGTATTTCAGTAATAATTTGGCCAGTGATTAATCACAGTAAATTTTTCAGTAATTCTTAGTACTTTATTTTCGTAAAAGAACTCTTAAGAAAATCTACTTTAACGAACTAGGAATAAACTACAAAGCTTATTAAGAGTTTAGTTTGCAAGGAGTTTATTTTGGCAAATTGATCTACTAACATCAAAGGCGATCATTAGTGAACATCGGACACCACGAGGACTTAGAGCTAAGACTCGTGCATACTGGTGGTTTTCGAAAACGTTTCTTGCTCCGTATATTCTACAAACTAATCGTATTCGCTTACGTCTCGACCTTTATCTGTTTTGTTCTTTTTTCGTTCTATAATTTCAAATTTTTATCTGAAAAACGTTGATCGGAAAAGAAAGGGTTTTGCTGCTTATGTATCGAGGATTTAGAGACCGTGTTGGATCATATCAGGAAGTAGCTGATCTCTTCAATGCTACACATCCTGATCGCAATCATATTTCTAAGTCTATTGTTCAGTACACAGTGACACGTTTTTTGGAAACTGGAACAGTTCAAGACCGACCTCGTAGCGGAAGACCAAAATCCGCAACAAATGATATGAGTTTGGATGTTTTACTGTCATTTCAAGAAAATCCTCATACATCTGTGCCAAGAAAAGCGCAAGCACATGATATCAGTCAAGGTAGCATTCTTAACATTTTAAAAAAGCATAAATATCATCCTTACAAAATTGTTATCGCTCACGATCTTATGAAAGATGATTTTGATAGAAGAATTCAATTTTGTAAAGAAATAATGAATCGAATTGATGATAACTTTTTGAATTTTATTGTTTTTTCAGATGAAGATATGTTTCAAATAAACAGTTCTATTAATCGTCACAATTGCATATACTGGAGTGATGAAAATCCACATTGGATGAATGATCTTCGCACACAGTATCCACAAAAATTGAATGTCTGGGCAGGAATTTGCAGTCGCGGTATTATTGGTCCATTTTTGATAGATGGTAATTTGAATGCGGAGAAGTATGAAAATTTATTGCGAAATCATATTATACCCGATATACGAAATAAATTTGGCGCAGGTATGCAACATGTTTGGTTCCAGCAAGATGGAACACCGCCTCATTACACAATAAGAAGTCGAGAATTTCTGAATCGTTCTTTTCCTGGTCGATGGATAGATAGGAAGAGTGCTATTGAGTGGCCTACTAGATCATCTGATTTGTCTCCTCTAGATTTTTTTCTTTGGAAATATCTCAAAAACAAGATTTATGCGACAAAACCACGTAATTTGGAAGACCTTAACAATCGAATAATGCGGAAAGCATCTCTCATTACTTTAGAACAAATAAACGATGTGCTCAGTCATTTCTATGAACGTTTAGCTCATTGTCAAATGGTAGAAGGAAGACAATTTGAACATTTAATTAATTGAAAAATGTTGCACACTTTAAAAGATGAGATAAAGTCACTTTACACAACAGAAAGGGTTTGGAGTCATGAAATACTACGGGAGTGACGAACCGTGGGGTCCTTATTTCTGTCACATAACATGCAGACGCACACACACACGCGCGCACACACACACGCACATACACACACATACACACATACACACAAGAGGTGTAAACCGATCGTGCAACCTCCACGCGGTACACTGTGACGCCTGGCGTGCGTCCGTGCGGGTCCTTCCCGCTAAGGAATATTATCGAGGGGTCTCGGCGAGGCGCGGCTCGCCGGAACCCACCGGCGGGAAGGGATCGCGCTCAATTAGTTGCTCTAATATCGATTTAATAGTTTTATTTAGAAATGAACAATGCCGAGGTATAATGAGGGGTGAGTGCGGCCGGTGGGTGGTCGCTTGTAGAGTTCCGTCCGCGGAAACGTTCGGACCGGTGGGCTGCCCGTGGCTTTTCGGGCCACGTATTCGCACGCTGGGACTCGGTCGAGACTATCCGTTGGGATCTTTCCGTTGTTTAGGGCGGACGAGCACCCTTGTCTTGAGGTGGCGAGGACATGCGCCACCGGCAGTGAGCGAGTACGCTCGCTCAGGGAGCGTGGCGAGAACGCTCGCCCGGGAGAAGTCGGCGAGGACACTCGCCCTCGGGATGGCGAGTACGCTCGCTTGTAGAAGGTGGCGAGTACGCTCGCCCTGGAGAAGTCGGCGAGGACACTCGCTCTCAGGATGGCGAGTACGCTCGCTTGGAGAAGATGCCGGAGAACTCTCAGGCGGGTCGGTGCCTCGTCTTGAGGCATCGGAAGACAGGTCCTCTTGCCAGTCGCACGGCGTCTTACATTGGCCGCCCGTGCGACTCTAGTTCGTTCCCCTTCCGTACCGCGCGACACGGGGGGGCACATGATGGTCGCATGCCGCGCGCGCCGAGGCGGTCCTTGCCTCCACGCGCGCGCCGCGTGCTCGCTCGCTCCTTTGTTCGCTCGCTCGCTCGCTCCCGTCGCTCGCTCGTTCTTATCGCTCCTCTCGCTCGCTTGCATCCTGTGCAGGGTGCTTTCCCGAGGACTGCATTCGGCTCAGCCCGATACGTAACGATCGTATCGTTACAACACTTTGGGTAATGCTAATGCCGACGGTACTGTAACTTTGAAGCTTCATAACTCGGGATGTACTTAACAAAAAAATACTTTGTTGTAGTGTTTTGGAAAGCTCCTGAAATACGTTATAAGAATATGCCAAAAAAGTAGGGTGTTCCATTTTAAAAGTTCAAGGTGACTTTGCCCTGACCTTGTTGATGCCAGCCAAGGTCAAACTGATAAGATCAGTAAATAGATCATTTTAAACCTTACAACTTTTGCCTGAAACATTTTTTCCAAATACTGATTGTTTTCGAGATATTTTATCGTTTGAAGACTTTTTGAGAACCCTGTATATGGGACGTTCCGCGTCAATGGGATCACCGGTTCCCTAAAAAATTGACGCATCGGATTGGAACGTGTGAGGGCTTGAATTGTTTGTTTACTTGAATACTTTCAGAAGCAACATGGCCTTTCCGGAAATTCATAGTGGTGGCTTCCAGGTGGCACTAAATATACCGAAAGACGCATGAGAACCATAATATATTTTCAATCAAATCATGAGAAACTCCGAATTTTTAACAGAAAATACGAGAGTTCATATATTTTGATCCGCTAAGTCCGAATTTAAGACCAAAATTTACCTTAAACGTCGCAATTCTTACCTAATCCCCAAAAACTGCTCAGAAACCACAAAAACGATATTAAACGAGTATCACGATATTGTGTTAGATATAGAGCCATTCAAAATAGATTCTAATACTAGTATTTGGTTCATCGAACCTAAATTATATGCTACGATCACCATAGAACGTTGTTCTCAAACCACAGAAAAGGACCTCAAAACCCTTAAAAACGATCAGAAAGTAAGACTGTGATGCTGTCCAGCCGGTTAGGTAAGACCAAACGTTGTTAGACCAGTTAAGGCAAGACAGAGCTCAATTAATTATGCCTAGTTTCATGCACCCTTACAATTTTTTGCTTCTCAAGCGATGTTCCGCTTTCGGCAATTGAGATATTTCTCCGATCTCGTATGCCACTGTAACCATAGGTTTTTGAGCACCCGAATATAGCATTGCTTGCAGTCAGATTGAGGTATGATTGCGTGAGCTATTTGCATTCTCGCAACAGGTGGAGTGTTGCGAAATCTCTGAGCAAGAAATTGACGTGTATTCTCATGATCTTCTTTACTATAAAAGAAAAAAATCATGTAGAGAGATCTTTTCTTAGCCCATGAAAAAAGAGTTTTCGCATCAAGAATTGTTTCATTTGGTGCAGATTGTAAGCTTGCTCGTGTAGCTTCTCTCTTCACAATTGCACCAACATCATCGCAGGAACCTTTTCCGTGCGCTGTTCCGAAGAAGTGCCATTCGGCATCTATGTTGAAGTCTGTCCTATGATGCATTAAATTAGACATAGATGTCTGTACGAGAATACAAATAGCTCATGCATTCATACCTCAATCTGTTCATACATTGCAAGTAATGCGATATTCGGGTGCTCAAAAACCTATGGCTACAGTGGCATATGAGATCGGAGAAATATCTCAATTGCCGAAAGCGGAACGTCGCTTGAGAAGCAGAAAATTGTAAGAGTGCACGAAACTAGGCATAATTAACTGAGCCATGCTTTGTCTTGCCTTAACTGGTTGAACAACGTTTAGTCTTGTCTTAACCGGCTGGATAGCATCACAGTCTTACTTTCTGATCGTTTGTAAGGGCTTTTGAGGCCCTTTTTGTGGTTTGAGAACAACTGTGACGTTCCAGGGTGATCGTAGCATATAATTTAGATTCGATGAACCAACTACTATTAGAACCTATTTTGAATAGCTCTATATCCAACACAGTATCGGGATACCCGTTTTTTATCGTTTTTAGAGGTTTCTGAGTCGTTTTTGGGGATTAGGTAAGAATTGCGACCTTTAAGGGCAATTCTGGTCTTAGATTCGGATTTAGCGGATCAAAATATGAGCTATCGTATTTTCTGTTGAAAATTCGGAGTTTCTCATGATTTGAAAATATATTATGGTTCTCATGCGTCTTTCGGTATATTTAGTGTCACCTGGAAGTCATCACTTTGAATTTCCGGAAAGGATGTTGCTGCTGAAAATATTCGAGTAGACAAACAATTCAAGCCCTCATACGTCCCAATCCGATGCATCAATTTTTGAGGGCGCTGGTGATCCGGCGGAACGTCTCATATACTAAATTAATGTTTCTTTATGTCAACAAGAATATTTAACGTTCAAAATTTATAATTTATTTATAACATTGGAATGAAACAGACATTTGCCAAAATTTTTGCAGTGTCCACTTAATTTTGTCCACTTTTTTTATTACAGTGAGGAAATCCTCATGGATACCCTCGCCCCTTGGGGAGGGCGGGGGTTATGTCGGACTCTTACCGACTAAAATTTCACTGGGGTGTTTACCAATCGGGCCGGAGTAGGAGAGCCGGAGGAACTACGTCAACATTCCCTCCCCGACACCTTGGCCCTGGGGCTTTACTAGGAGCCCCTCGCCCTAATGCCACGCCCCTTTTTTGGGAGTGGACGCGGCGCCCCGACCGGTTTTCCGATTGGATTGGCACTCCTCCTGATCACAATCGTGGAGGGAGGGGACACCCACGCTCTCTCCTAGCCTCTCCCCCTACTTAGTGGGCGGGGAGTGGGACCCCGCCCCAACCGGGTTACCCATTCTCCTTGTCCACCCCTTGCCGACGCACGGGGGTAGCTTATGCCCCGCTTTTGCGTACGTAGGCGGTCTCTGTGGGGGGGGCAGTTTTCTCCTCTTCGAAGGAGAAGGCTGATCCCCCCGCATGACGTTCCCCCAGAGTCGTTGCCCCCCCTGGCGCACGTCACCGCCTCCGCCGTAGGACTCGGCGGGGACAGCTCGGCGATCTCCTTCCGGGACATCACGTCCTCGGCGAAGGACACCGCCGCCTCTCAGATCTATTCCCTCTCAACCATGGCTCCTACTAGGGCCGGGAGGGAGAGGTCCGGGTTCCATCGACTGATTGCCCGGCAGAGGTCACGGCGCTGCTGCTCCCACGCTGAGCAATGCTCCAGCGTGTGCTGCGTCGTGTCCTGCAATGCCAGGCAATGGCGGCACCGCTCCGTGGACTCCTTCCGGATTATGTGTAAGTACCGATCGAAATATCCATGCCCCGTCAGCACTTGCATCACCCGGAAGGTGAGTCCGCGTCCTCTCCTATCCTTAAATTTTGCGAGACAGGGGCGCCTTTTGTTCACGACTTTTTTTATCATGATGGGGAAAACCTCATGAGTACCTTCACTCCTCGGGGGGGGGGGGGGATGAAGGTTATACCGGGCTCTTATCGGCTAAAACCCTACCGAGATGCCATTCTTCGGGGATCCAACAGGGGTGGCCGGAGGAACTGTGTTAGTACCAGTCGATTCTCCAATCGTCCCTCCCCATGGCCTTTTGGGCCCTCCGCCTGACGCCACATTGCGCTTGCGCAGTGCGGTGCCCGGCCGGAATAAGCACGGTCGTGGTTGGGCCGGCCCGAGGGAGAGGGGCATCCGCCCCCTCCCTTCCCCCACCTCTATGTGAGAGGTGGGGGTTGGGAGAGCAGGACCCAGCCCCGACCAGGCTATCCTGCTCCCCCTGGTCTCTCGCGTTTACTCGCGGGGGGTCTGGTCATCAGGGCGGCTGTCGGATGGAGGAGCTGAAGCCTCCCCCCGGACAGCCACCGACGATCCCTCCTTCAGGCGCGTGGACGTCCCCGCCTCTGCCGCTTCCCCGGCGGCATCTACATCAGTAGAGTTGGGGGTCGGCCTCTACGTCAGCGCCCACCGCGCCGGCTGCCGCCATCCCCAACTCGGCGCGCCGCCAACCAGCACCTTTTGTCCACGACTTTTTTTTTGGTAACGCAGGGGAAATCCTCATAGGATACCACCGACTCTTGGGGGGGGGGGTCGGGGGTTATGTCAGACTTTTACTGACTAAAACCCCTGCGGGATGTCTACCATTCGGACCGTTGTGAGGGGAGATAGGGGAAGTACTCCCGTATTCCCTCCCCAACACCCCGGCCCCAGAGCTCACCAGGAGCCCTTCGCCTCTAGTACCGCGCCCTGTCCCACAAAGGGAGTCCAGGGCGCGGTCCCCCGACCGGTTGCTCGACCGGGTTGACTTTCTGGTTCATACTGGAGGGAGGGGACATCCATCCTTCCTCCGCGCCCCCTCTTGCCCCTCAGGGGGGCGGAGGCGTGAAGCCCAGCCCCAACCGGGCTTCCGCTCCCCCTTCACCTACCCTCACCGACGCCCGGGGAAGGCGGGTGGGTGTTACGCACCCGTCACCCCTCCCCCCATGCGTCCGAAGGCGCGTCCGAGGCGGCCGAGGAGGCGGCCTTCGGCGAGCCGGTGGCCTATCCTTCTTCTCGGCCCCGTAGTAGGGGCCGACGGTCCCTGGAGCGAGACTCCCATTCGGCAGCCTCTTTCCGCGACATTACGTCGCGACAGAAAGAGGTCGCCTTTCCCCATACCTCCTCGCTCCCGCACATGGCTTGCATCATGCGCGAGAGCGAGAGTTCGTCCTCCATACACCCCACTGCCTGGGCGAGGACACCGTGCTCCTGGCACCGAGGGCAATCGAGAGAACCACTCCAACGTACAGGCAGCGTGCGTGCCACAGCCGGGCCTCCCTGGTTCTGCATAAGCCTGGCCAGAGCTAGGCCTGCATTCCGAACTCGGGGGGCCAGGTCCCTGAAGTGGGCCCTAAAATCCCTTCGGCTGTCCAACGTCAGGTCCAGATATTTAATCTTGGGCCCGACGTGGACGCGGACTTCGTCCACCAGGACCAGGGTCTCCAGCGACGCACCACGGCTGCCGTCGTGAAATAACACGGCTTCCGTTTTTTGGGGGCGCCACCTTCAAACCCAGGCTCCGGATGGTGCCCACCACCGATGCCAAAGCCACCTCCGCTCGGAGGCGAGCTTCTCCCCAGTCCTCCCTCTGGCTACCACTAAGGTGTCATCTGCATAGCAGATGACATGGCAGCCAAGGGGAAGGGCGTGCGCAATACCCTGTCGAACGCGATGTCCCATAGCAGGAGGCCCAGTACGGACCCCTGCGGGACACTGCGCTCCATGAGCCGCCGGCCTTGGACCCCGCCCTGTACCGGATAGGCGAGGTCTCTGTCCTCAAAGTAGGCCGCCAGGATGCGCCGGAGATAGGCAGGCACTCGATGATATTCAAGCGCCCGCCCAATTCTTTTTGTCCACGACTGTATATATATATCTATATATATGTAAAAGAGAAGTGATAATATACGAAGGCTAATGATAAGGAAGGAAACGTATTATTTTTTAATTTTTTTATTTATTTCTCAACATAGTCTCTTTTCATCTCGATATACTTAGTCCAGCAATATTCCAACTTTTTCAAGCCATCCAAAATATATAATTTGCCGATAAATAGGCCTCTGTTTGGACGATGACTCCCTTGTTTGATGTGAACCGCTTTCCAAGCCATTTTTTCATGTTTGGAAACAAAAAGAAATCGCATAGGGTCAAATGTGGAGAATAGGGTGGATTCGTAGCATAATTCGACCAGTTTTGCTATAATGATTGCGGACGAGTGCGTCTGCAGTTCAACATCTAATTGGCCCAATAAATCAGCATAGTATTGCCCCGTGATTGTCCTTTCCTTCTCCAAATAGTCAGTGAAGATGATGTCTCGCGAATCCCAAAAACAGTGGCTATGACTTTTTCGGACGATGGAACCGTTTTCATCGTCTTTGGAGCAGGTTTGCCGGATGAAGTTCATTGTTATGACTGTTCTTTCATTTCTGACATGTAGTGATGGATCCGTGTTTCGTCAATCGTCATGAAACGCTGCAGAAACTCTTTCAGATTGCGCTTGAACATGTTCAAACAGTGTTCCGAAGTTATTATGCGATTCCGTTTTTGCTCCCCTGTGAGCAAACACGGCATCCATCTCGCCGACAGCTTTTTCATGCCCAATTTTTCGTGTACGAAATTTTGTACGTGTTCAATTGAGATGTTTACAATGTCAGTAATATCTCTGATCTTCACCTGGCGGTCTGTTAACACGATATTATGGATTTTGTTGACCATATCCTCCATAGTTCACATTCCTCCATACTTCAATCGGACGGCCTACGCGCTCTTTATCAAAAACGAATATTCGTCTACGCTTGAATTCATTAAACCAATATCTAATGGTAGTCATCGAAGGTGCATAGTCCTTATAAACAGCATGCAACTTCATTTTGATTTCCTCACACGTTTTCTCATAAAAAAAAGGAATCGAATCATTGACCGATATTGCTCTTTTTCCATAGTTGCAAACAAATACGAACTTGCCCACTTTCAACAGCTATCAAAACACAACTACTCGACAGCTGTCTGAAATTGTGACAGGCGTCGTTCGAAAGATGGCGTTACACGATGGTATACAGATTTTGCGTCAGTCGCCTATCGGCACTATCTGTCATTAACACGTTGACTGCCAACTACGAGATATCTCGTAGGTTGTTTACTTGCCCAGGACGCCTACTACGAGTTATCTCGTCCCTTTAGTACTTGCCATATTTGTATAGCTACGAGAAAACTCGTAGCATAACAGTGTAAATATGAATAGATGGCCTCAGGAAAGAGAATAAAAAATCAGGTTTGGCTTAAATGAACAGAAAATACAATTATACAAAGTTTATTCAAAAAGAAAAAGTTTATACAAGGAAATAAATTTTTATGTTTTGTGATAATTTTTAAACATGTTTTTAAAAAAAAAAACTTTTTTTATGCTTTTTGATTATTACTATGTACTATTATTAAAGTTTTTAATAATATAACATGATTAAATCAAATTGGCTCTTTAGACCGGAATCGTGAAAAATTCCG